GCTAGTTAGCGGAGCAACACAACGGTGACTCACGTTTCAGCAATATTTAACATTCCGCAGTGATACGAAAGCAGTTATAGCGTACCAGTCACTTCCTACGCGTCTCCGGCCGCCTCGAGCCGGTATACCATTAACCAGCCTCGAAAATTATTGATCGATCACAGATAGAACCCATCGACCTTGAATTTCAATCACGGAATTGGAATCCGGAATTGGAACCTTAGACGAAGGGACATTTGTCCGTCGGCTGCTTTCTTTTTCCTCCGCCGGCTTTACGTAAACCCATGGAAAGCGAGAAAAAAAGCGTGCGCACACGGTGGTCCGTAATTTATATCGACCGATAGACCGCCTCGAATTTCTCCCGAGAACGATAGAATATTACGTAAACCGAACGCGGTTCTCGTAAGAACTCTTTGCGTGTTGTACAATTAGTTTTCAACCGAGGAGTCCGAGGTACGACATTCTATATGATAAAATATTTAGGAAATACCCAACGCTATTTTGTCCTATGACACTTCTTTTCTAAGATAATCGCGTTAGGAAATTTATCAGCCACTATTGAATAAGTGTTCGTTGGCATGTCCGTTCGACTTACCGTTTCTACTTGTACTAATGCGCGCGTGTCACGCAAACCTTGGGAGTCCGATTATCTTAAAAACGGAATCACGTGTGAAAATAATGTATTGTATCTTTACGACTTCTTCTTTGCACGCGAATTCGCGGCTTTGAAACGAAACTATTCCTAAATGTTTATGTAGCATTTATCGAAACCTGTCATTTAGCACGACACATCGAATCACTAATTGCCAACGCTTAGGTAGTCAAAATATATACGCTTCTCCATCAGCCAACTTGAACTAAAAAGGGAAACAGTTCCAGGCTATAGGAAGTTACCGCTACGGCGTTGAAACGATCTTGCATAAATACCGGACATCTGGTTAGGCTGGCGCAGTCCTCCAGCTGGTTCATTCACTCGGGGACGAGTAAGATCGTCCGCGTACGTCATTACCGTGGCCGACTTGTGCGTCGATCTTTACGAGCAACGTGAACATCTTGTTCGGGCTTGATCCTCCACGGGGAATCGTCGGGCGACGATCGACGAAACACCAAACTGCCCGCTAGGCGATGCGAATTTATCACCGGTGAAATTTACGAGGCGTCCACCGCGTCCGCGTCGATCGCGAAATCGTTCTGGCTCGATTTACACTTCGACATAACCGTCCTTGGCGGATGCACACGATAAGTCGGTCTCGTGGGAGAGAAAAATATATTCCGAAGAACAAGGTGAAGATGATGAAGATAAACAGCGAACTGGAGCCGCGATACGAGGCTGCGAGCTGCTGAGAAAATCGGGGAACGTGAGAATCGGAAGTGCGGTTGACTTAAGGTTGCTTAACTGATCGCAACAGTTTCCGCTCCTCGACGAATTAAATTAATTACTGGACTCGGTGTTTTGCCTGCGCCACGTGACTCTTATCCTTCGATGAAATCCTTCTGAGTCAGTGCACAAATTCGCGTGAAACGTAGCTTCACGGTGACGCAACGAGCCGAACATTATCATTAACGGCGCGATTAGGCATGCAACCGCCAACGGGTCGTCCGCTTATTTACGCTCATCCTTGTACATCCATTACGTATTAATTCATAAATCAATCGGTCGGCCGGGAGATCCTTTGTCTCCGCGAGCGGTGGTGCAACGTGTTTGAAATTCGTCGGGGGTGGGACCGGTTATCGGGTCGAATATGCGCGCGCAATCTTAATCATTTGTCTTACGACTTCCTTCAGAATCCCCGAGCGTTACTTTACTGTTTACGATTTTGTAATTAGAGGAATTATATGGTTCTTCGTGGGCGTGCACTGGAGAAGTTGTTACTTTAATAGTCGCACGTGTTCGCTTTGACACGCGTTCGAAAATTGATTAACACTAAAACTACCGAATTGGGAACATTGACCCACTTCAGAATGTTTAATTTGCGAGTATTTAAATTACGAAGCCGTTCTTGCGAAGAATTTCTAATTAAATTTGTGTATTTGTACATATACAAGACTAGGAGACACTTCGAATCTCAAGGAACGCGTTGTTCTAACTTTTACGAGAAATTGAAAGTCGTTCTAATTGCTCGGTAGTTTTAGCGTTGACAGTATAGTCTCGATTTTGATCCATTCAAATAAACCTCACTGCAATCACAGATACCTATATTACATAATGTCACGCAAACAACAATTTTTACAGATTAAACGGCGAAGATTAGAATGAAGAAAAATTGATATCGCCAATCAAGGCATTTGTCAATGTAAACCTAATGCAAAAGCTTCATTAATCTCTGTAAATTTATGGTTTCATGCTTCTAACTTCAGCCGTTGTGAATGGCAGCGCGGAAATTTTGTTGCGTACAAGAGTCCGCGGTCCGATGGTCACATTTTGATTTAAAAAACAAACGACCTAAGGTCGACGTATTCGACGAAGTCGAATTTAGTTGTCCAACTGAAACTAAAAGATGAATTACGCCGCTCGTAAATTCATTCATCTGGCGCATAGAATAAACGAAACCGACCTGAGAGACACCTTTTGCGAACCTCTCCCGATAACAAATAATCACCGATCACATTAACATCTTCACGCACGATGAATCAGTTGCAACGCGTAATGAGCGTGTTTTACGACTCTCGTGGATCGTTAATGGTGCACATAAAGCGGCCATTTGTCAAGCACGGGTATTCCGTGTTCCAGGGGAAAATCGTAAATCGTTCGAAGGTCAAAGTACGAGTATCGGGGATCGATTAACGATGCGGCAACGATCCTGATGTGTGTAATGCCCGATGTACGCACGAATGTCGCGTTGCGCGTGCAACACGCGCCGCGCCGCGGGTTTCACGGGCGCGTGGTCTCGCCGTATGAATGGCGTGTGGGACAATGCTCACTACCATGACCCACTGACACAAAAATAATGGAGCAACATGATATTCGTGTACTTTCATAATCCGGGGGCTTTTTTCCTCGGCTAAAAACGAAGCTTGCGCCCGGATTGCATAATACGCGTTGCACTCGTCGTACGAACGCGACGGCCGTTGGGAAATTCGGCGACGCAGGAGATACGACGTTCGATTATGCGCCGTGCGTGTAAGGGACGTTATTTTCCATTGCTTATGAAGTTTCGAAATATGTTTGGGGAACGCCGGAATTCGACGTATTCGTGCTCCGAAAGGTACAAAATGTACCGCTATACTTTCACTAATTTCCAACCGACGTGTTTTTTCTTATGCCTCATTTCTAAATGGATTAATGAGGTTCTTCTCGAGCATCGTCACCGATAGGAATGTCTTCGGACGGATTAGTTCCCGGAATGTAGATTAGGAAAGGTCTTTCTTGATACCGTGACTAAGCATTCCGGATAACATTGGAACCGTATTGTAAGCTTAATTTTTACACGTTTCGCCACTGGCGATTTTTTATTCTGGTCTAACCGGTTCGTCAAGCGTCGATCTAACATCGAGGCGTTACGCCGTTGTGAATACATTAGGGTAAAGCGGACTGAATACGCCGGATATCCGATGTTCTCACGAGGCTTTTCCTCCGTGAACGTTCCAATGTCGATTATCTGCATTTTTAAAAATTTCAAAATATTCCCCAACATCCTTGCGTATTCAAAGAGTTTGCGACATATGTCATGCAGTGACTTGATTAAGTCTCGCTGTATCAGTGCCTGCTTCATCAGGCGAATTGATTGTTTCTTCGTTGTTATAGGTGCTGATTTATAAGTTGCAAAATTACCATAGTGTACTTGAACAAATCATCGCCGTTTTAACGTGGCAGCATATAAACGCACGGGCGAAACAATGTAGACACATCGCGGCCGTCGATAATACGCGGCTTTTCACTTTGGCCTCGTTTGCACTACGTTTCGTCGCGCTATCCACAGCCTGCGGGATTTGAATTTAAAGTCATTGTCGCCTCGCGATCGGTATTGACGAAACCTTCGGGTATCACCGACCTTCGACCATTTCATTCTAGCCGGCCGAATATCTTTCGCGCTACGTCCACGCGAGCCATAAAATTTCGTGAACAACAATGAAATCGGCCGCATGCACTTGCAATATAAAGGAACACTAGCGCGCCCGACTGTTTCACAACGAAAATGTTGCGAATTCAGTATACCCGAACCTCGTAAAATTGATCTAACCCTGACACACATTTTAACCGGGATTGAACAGTTCCCGAATTCGTGGCCATCCATAATCAACGCCGTCGTTATCGCTAAACGAGGATCCCCGACGAATTTTAGAATATCTTATATCCCCAGTAGCATCTTCTGAATAATCAAATAGAAGTCTGGCTTTTATATTGTATGAAATTAAAGTATTTTTAGGTATTACCAGGCAGTGAGTCTAGACTGAAATTATAAATTTATTTATCAGTCCGAAGCATGTATATATTCCTTCCAATATTTGGAATAACGATAACGAACGATAGGTAAAGTGTCTTTAAATGGACAAATCGAAGGTATATCCAATATGTCGCCCACCACCGAAATTCAGCGCGTCCACGAAAGGGAAACCGCTTGCGTAGGTTTCGCTTCTTCGGCTTTTTTCTTCGGTTTCTTCTTCGACAGAGCGTGTTTCATAATTTGCTGCATCATCGGCATTATTAAAATTACACTGGAATCTTGGGGCCGAGATCAGTATTGCAAACACGGGACGGCGAACACGTGCCTTGGACATTCCGTAGAATTCCACGGGTTATGAATGTTTCCGCCGAGCGTCCGGATCAGGTGGAGTGAAATGCTCGCGAAGAATGGATTTATATTGCGAGTTCACGAGCTGAATACGATGAACCCGTGAATACACGCGCTTCCTGAAAGTTCAGCGTCGCTGAAACGAATTCGCGTGTTTCACTTCGTCGTTTTCAATCGTTCGCCACGAATTATTCGCTCCCTCCGATATAATTTTAATAAGAAAAAATCTCCTGTACTGTCATTAAATTCGCTCCAATTTTTTTCCAGATGGCGGGGCTCCGTGTACAAACTAATCTGGCGGGAACTGCTGGCGTACCTGTTCGTCTACTACCTCATCAATTTTACATATCGATATGCGCTCAACGAGCAGCAGCGGGTGTGAGTACATGAATACGTTCATTTGAATATCTTTCCGGGCGAAGTCAATGTCTTCGGAAGGTTGAAGACTGAAACGGCCGGGTAATAAGTTCCGACCGAAATGTGGGCCGTTACCTTGGAATTAAAACGCACACGAAAACTCTTTTCCTTAAATATCGTCGTCGAACTGTCCTTAAACGGGACAAGGACCGACGTTGCTTGCTTATGAGAACCGAATACACCGGTGATACCTTTGAGTAGGGTTTCCGATCGTAGCTCCTTGCACAATCAATTTGTGCAAGAAGTCAACGTACTGTCGTTAAAAAATGTGTTCCGACTGTATGCACATAAGCAATCACGCCGGTACTTACAATCCATGTTGCAATCTCACGTTCTCTGTCTCGGTACACACTTTTTCTCCGATCGCTCGGAGATTGTCGAGGAACGACTCTACTTCGAATAACATACGAAATCCTCTATGATCGTATTACATTCCATAGTATCTGCCAACAACGGATACAGCGTGACATATACACTCGTACACCCATAAAGCTAACGCAATTTGCCCACCAATCATATGTATCTTAGTCCCAGTCTCTGTGACCACCTTGTATATTCCTCGAACAACGCGATCGCATAGTACATTGACCAACGCCGATCGACGAAAGGCGAACAACATCTCGGCCACTGGATAGCGACAATGTAACAAGCAACAGTCCCTTCCCCGAAGGCCTTATCTCGCGGAAAAGCGAATCGGCTGGCGCGTGTATGTACAGGAACGCCATAACCCGGGGATTTTACGCGCGTCGATAAACCCACGCGACGACGACCTTGGCCGGCAACAAATCCGACGACTTCAGATCGCGATCACATTTCATCGGTGAACGTCGACGAATTTACGACGGCCTCATTTTATTGGCGTCAATATCGTTTCCCCTGTCGACGGCCGACGCGCGTCGCGTCGGTCAAACGCGTCACCCTCAATTTTTCCTGTTTACGAGCGAGTTTCGCTTGCTTTCGCCCAACGCGCAGTTTCACGGCTGCCGGAGACGGACGGGAGGCGTTGCAGAACCCGCGGATGCTATCAACGACGGAAATAAAAGTCAATTCGAGTAATTACGATTCCCCGGATCGATTAAACTTCTGAAAAAATGGCCGCGCGGCGCGTCAGCGACGCCTCGGATCGCGCGCAATTGTGCAACCGGCTCGTCCGAGGCAGTAAAGGGGAAAGAAAGAATATTTTATCGAGTCGCCTCGGATTGCACGGGGCTAAATCACGGATACCGTAAATAAAATTCGCCCTTCCTCCCCACCCCCCGTTCTTCGCGGCGCGAGTTGCGCGTCCCGGCGCACAATACCGGCCAGGACGTGCCGGGGTTTCGACCGCGGCCAGCATTACAAAACGCATAAAAACGTAACCTGTTATTTATGCCAAGATAAAAAGGGGATAAAGAATCGCGGGCCGAGCACCGCGGCCCACAAAAAGATCTCTTCCCCTTTTGAGCCGCCTGTTCGATTCGCCTGTTCTAAATTTAGAAGCACCGTAGGGCCGGTTTGGGGCTGGCTTAGGGCCTGGCCAGGCTCGACGCTCGATGAGCGATTCGCCGAACGGGATGTAAAGCCGCTCTCGATCATATATTCTGAACTCTTTCGAACGATAAATTTTGGACTCTCTTAATAGGATTTTTGATACGACGCGACGGTTCCACCGCTCGCGGAAACGTTGCTCTTCTTCGGGGAACTGCAGCTGCCGTTTATTAGCGTTCGTGAAATATTTGAATATTCAACGCGTCGAACGAGCGTAGCTTATTCGTTCTCTTTGTTCGGGCGAAATTTATGTTTCAGACGAGATCGCCGTGCACTGCAATTTTAATGATAAAATGGAATCACCGGTGATACAGGGAATTTTTGGTCACGCGCGTTGTTATCTGGGATAAGCGACAATAAGGGGAAATAAGTTTTCACCAGCAGCTGCAAAATCTTAGTGGAAATTCCCATTTGCTAATAATTACCGGTATGTAAGACCGGTAGTGGTCACGTTGGGTGACGGTATCACCTCAACCTTGCTCCACTTGTAGGCGAAGCAGTGCAAGAACTTTACCACACACGACACACCGTCTACTGAACAAATATTTAACTGCACGCAATTCATGCAAACTTCCGATTTACTCTCGCGGCACCAACGTGACCGTGTTCTCCCGGCGCGACAAAAAGATGCAAATTGTTTTCTGACAGCACACCGTGTCGGGGGGAGAAAGTGTGGAAGCTACGGAACTTGTTAACATAAGAAGTCGCCTTAAATACGAACTGGCCTTGAATTCATTCGAGTCTTTAAGGTTCACCAAGGATCGAGGGCGAAGGAAAGTCGATTTGAGCGATCGGGAATGGGCAAGGGTGGACGGTGGTCGAATACGTCACAGGGAATTGAGAATGTTTGTAATCAGCCGTAGAATTTAAACAGATACACTCCTCGAACCTAAGAGATTGAAGTAGAATGTTGCGTTCTACATTTTTAAAGTAAATGCTCGCGAGACATTCCGTATTCCTTCTTCAAACTTCTTATGAACAATATTCAGCTTAGACCTAAGAGAAACTTTTAACCCTTTGCACTCGGAAGTATTTCGTTAGAAGTACTTCACATTTTCTAGCTAGACAAAGACGATCTTTTTTGAAAAGAACTCAAAATGAAACCATAAGAAACAAAGCTTTTTCATCCGAATATTACACACCGATGCATTATACACAATTCATTATTAAATATCAAATTTTATACCTTTACTGAATCAAATCAAGTGGTGACTAAGAATCACCTTTCGAGTGCAGAGGGTTAATCAAAATTCATTTCCCAGTCGATATGAAAATCGTTAGAAAATTTGTATTGAATCACTACAAGCCCCACGAACATCCATACTCCACACGAGTCGCATAAAGTTCGACTGATCTGTTGCAGGATATTCGAAAAGATTCGATACTACTTCGGAAACTCAAGCGAGTCGATACCGATGTCGTTCGTCCTGGGATTTTATGTGAGCCTGGTCGTGAAGCGCTGGTGGGAACAATACAAATTATTACCCTGGCCGGACAACTTGGCTCTGTTCATCAGCGCTGCAATTCCTGGAAACGTAAGTATAAAAGATCGAAACGTTTCCCCGAAACGTTCGCCACGGGGTAGACCGGTCGAACGCGCATGAAATTCCCCGTAGCCCGCCGCCGCCGCCGCAGCCGCTACATGCGCAGCCTTGCTCGGATCGGTCGTGGTCGTCGCCGCGTCGCGCTCGTCTCATTACGCTAATGAATTGCCGTGACACGTTTCGGTGTCGTTAACCTAAGTAGGTGCCAGCTCGGAGTCACGCCACGCCCAGAAGCGGCGTGCAAAAAGAGAGGAAAAAAAGGAGAAGAGAAAAAGAACGCGCGAAACGATCATCCCATAATTGGCAACCGAACGAATCTTCTCGGCCGTTCTCTCGTAGCCGGGCTAACGGGTACACGCGGGAACGATATCGAACTCGGCCGACCCTTCGCCACGGCGATTTAAACTCCCCGCACACGTGTCCGAGCGACACGGTGCACGCCGCGCGAGAAATTGGCGTCCATTATCGTTACTTTCTCTGATCGCTTCGTACGAACCGATAACGAAAGTTCATTTTCTACGCGGCCCGTCACGTTTGTATCTTCGCCGAATCCTTTCATAAGTAATTTGTTCATTCCGGAATAATTAACCTTTCGACATCCTATCGATCTCGCTAATACGTAAGTATCGGTTAGCCACAGATCAATTTCACTTTCGAACTTTCAGAGTCCGCCGTTTGAAAGCGCTGCCGGTCGTGATATTTATCGTTAATGCCGCGCGATTCGAGGCTCCGTCGAACTGTCTGCCTTTCGTTAACGACTGGGTCTAATCAATTTCGCCGCCTTCGAAACCATCGGTTCCACCATCACCAACGAAAGTTCCCCTAGTCACGAATCAAATTTCGTAATCACGCTTCACGTAGCATCTGTCCGGCTCTCTAGACTTTCCAAAATACGCACGAAATTCCTAGGCGGCGCGTTCCGTCGAGCTTTATCGCGCGACCAATCAGCCGCTGGTCCCGTTAACAACTTCCGAGAAAATCAATCTTCCGCGCGCGACCCGGTCACCCGGCGGTAAATCATTCCGCGTTGTCATCCTTCGAATTACGCCGCTGTGAACGCAGGACGTTGCTATTCCGGCGAAGTAGAACCGCTCGCGTGTTCATCGAAAATTCCGGTTCCGGTTCGAACTTCGTCTTCGTCGGGAAGCGATCCTCCGGCCGCGTGGTCAATGACACAATGTAGAAGTGAAAGTGCAACGTATAAGCGGGAAAGAAGGACGAACCCACGCGTTGTCCAAATCATTCCCGCCGCTGGGAGCGTCTGGCGTCTATCGACGACCGACAACGATCATTCGCTCCGTGCGATTCGCCTTTGTTTCTTTTTATCACAGCGCAATTAACGTTCAATATTTCAGACAGTCGACTAGCGAATCATTGTCTGCGGTGAGAAGCAAACTTTCCACTACCTTTTAGCTACCATCACCGATAGACCCAGCCGAGTTCGAAGGATTCGACTTCCTCGTGCTCCCAGAATCGTTCCCTGGCCGTTCTCCATTTTCTCTCGTGATCCAACTAGTTAGGTACCCGGGACGGGTAACAGGAATAATTACACGCGCGAGGTTCATCGTGAACCCGGCGACGACGTAACTTGCATTCGAGGCTTCCGATTTTGCTGGCCGCGCGAGAAAGTCGCCGCCGCGTGCCCCGGTGTGTCGGGGCAACAGTCGGGCGGCGGGGGCTGCAACGGAATTTTCTGCACGCGGCCAGCCAACGGGCAAGGTCTCCCTCAGCCGCGGAACGGGACCGTAAGTTCCCTGCGTACCGAGCTGCGCGCCGCTCGCTCGTGTAGTCACGTAACGAGAAGTATCGGATTTGTGAATGAGCTGCGAGACCACGACGAGTGGGCAGCACGAGCTTCTGGGCTGTGCCTTTCATTGAAATCTAATTGGAATTCTGGCCCCGAGGCGAGAAGGATGGCTCGCACTCCCACCTTCGCTCCCTCCCGCGGGGAGGATCCTTCCCGGGCTGCCAAGCCGTGCATTTTTACACGCGCGACGTTAAGTCGCGGCATTCCGAAGCCAGAAGGGACGACGCGGTCGCCTCCCGCGCTCCCGGGACCGGCAAAAAACGAAACCGACGCGCCGCCCGTTGCCGGAGAAGTCGTTGGCGGAGGTCCTTGGCCGAAAATTGCGACGGCCGGATAGCCCGACGTTGTATAGAAATGCAGATTATTCATCTGGCCCGGGGGTGAAGCAGGATTAGCCTGCGATACAATGGACGGGGCGCTCGTGGTTGATTAAACTCGGATGGTTCATAGCGTTGGACGAAGGTTTCGAAGTGTCGAGTTTCGTTTATTCGAAGCTGACAATGTATTTTACTTGAGAAGAATTATCGTGTTTATTAATTATCCATGTAGAACGTGTTGACGAAGGTTATTTAGAAGCTTGTTAGACACCGTTTGTGTAGCTGTGATTTAAGAAGTTACGATTCTCGAGGAGAGTAAAAAATAGACGTGGCTTTAGAGAATATAACAGGAAAGTATGCGTTTCACACGCCACTTTTAAGTGTCCAAGAAGATTGATGGTTCAACGTCGCTCCAGGCAAAGTATGCTAGGAATCTTCAAGGAGGTGAATCTAATCGGCCCTTAATCTCGAGTCATTAGGAGAAGTTTCCGTACAGAACGTAACCTCGTTCCTTCGTGTTTCCGAATAAACGACTCGAGACGAATCGGGATAACGCGAGAAGTGAGTTTACTAATCATAAAGATACAGTTAATCAGCGCGCGCGCCGGTTGCCGGCCTCGGCCATTCATGTTTCGCAACGGGAGATGCTAGGCTCGAAGACGGACTAATTGAAAACGGTGGATTGCGAAGGCGCGTCGACGTTCCGTGGAAAACGGTGCTCGCGCGAGCAATTAATCATTGAATAATCACGCTGGAATCGTTTCCGATGATATCACGGCCGCGGGTTTGCGCCACTGGAACTTTCTTCCCCCCGGACGGCCACGGACCGTCCCGAATCGGCACGTGGCTCGCGTAACGTTTACCGGCCACGTGTTATTAGCCGCTCGAAAATTTTAGTTTCGACAAACTTTCTTCGGCTGTTGCATGCATTATATCGTGCGGACGGGACGTGCCTCGATCCACAAAATACTTCATCTAAAGCCGTCGTGCTCCACATACGTAACGAATCGCCTTGAACCGGTCTGCAATTAGACTACCAATCATCGATATTTCCTATCGTTCGCCGATCGTTGCCCGCCGAAACCGGAAAACTCGCTCGGCGAACGGTCGCCGGCACGTTCGCGTGGAAATTTTCGAACCAGGAATCGATCGGCGACGATTCCGCGTCGAATTGTTATTCCGACGGGCGTGCAGGATCATTCACCGCGGCGGCCGGTGATTACAAAACGGCCGATCGGTTACAAAATGCCCGCGCCGATGGCCAGGAACGAAAGGAAAAATGACCGGCAGGCGCCACCGCGGGTTTTTCACTGATTAATACTGGAACATCGACGAAACCGGCGACGATTCGCGACCACGGGCCAAAAGAACAAGGGGAAAGTGTGTACAAGACATGGGAAACGTGTCCGGCATTCGTGGCCGCCTAGGAAACGAATTATGTATCCTTTTTTCCTTTTCGGACGCGCCTCCTCAATATCGAGCCTGTCCCCACTTTCATTTGTCTGATACGATTGTATCGATATTCTTCTATCTGCGTTGGGGATAGATATCGGTGACCCTGGGATGCCTGTCCGGGCGGAAGCTAACGGAAACGCTTGTTAATCGGATAACGTTCCAAAACGAAGGAACTTTCACGGACGATAAACGCTAATCTGGGGATTAAGCTTTGCTAAATAGGATTCATGGATCTTACGTTTACAAGCAGTTCTATATGATCAGAAATCATGTAATTTCTGATTTCTGTAACGATTTCAATTACAACTCGTTCCATTTATCGTGCAACGACTTTTCGGAATATAAGGGGTACAATTAGTTTAATAAGACGAGTGGAATTTTTAACGATCCCTGGAAGATTATCGAGTGAGATCATCTCACGAAATGATAACACAGAAAAGAAACCAACCATTAATCGCAGACGTAAATAAGATTCCTTTTTTAAACGATCTTCCATGGATCTACAAGCTGAATAAGCTATGAAGGATGCCAGCTAGAGAAGAAAGGCGCGGATTGAACGGTGACGCCAGCCGAATCATTAATCATTACCTAAATTCAGAGTTATTCTTAATTGTTGTGACGCTTGTAAGAACGAGGATCATCGGAATTGCTCGGACAACTTCTCTGAAGTGGATAGTACAATTAACCTTAGAAAGTCTAGCGCCTCGAGGCTATTCATTGTAAAATGTAAAAAGGAAATTGCTGCAGAAGTGGAGGATACATCAGAGAAAATGATTTGTTGTCACTTATGTCTGCGAATGTTAAATATCGGTAAAGAGCTTCAGCGTTCCCGGGCTTTACATGTTATGAAATGAATTTTTCCCAATTATAAACACCGTTCAAATGAAGTGCTGTTTATCGCGTTGGAGGCACAAAGCAATCGTATCATAGTCGTCGTCCGGTAGAAACCATTAGTATGATTTATGGAATCGTGCAGTGAATTATCTCCGCGGCCATTAACTAGGAAACTGCATCGGCGCGTTCCCCCCTGAATGCGTATGGTTAATTGCGCGCGATTGCCGGTGGCGAGCGGCGATCTCGAGTCGGTTGTCAGGCCGATAATATTGTAACGTTTTCACATTGCAGGACGAGAGAGGGAGGCTGATGAGGAGAAACATCGTGAGGTACGCGGTGCTGGCGTACGTCATCACGTTGCAGAGGATTTCGTTGCGCGTTAAAAGGCGATTTCCGACGCTTCAGCACATCGTAGACGTTGGTCAGTGAGTTACATTCACTTTATTACGTTTCTCACCATTTCTCCTTTATAATCACGCAAAAACTCCAGAGATTCGGGCACACTCTCGCTTTAATCGAGCTACCCGCGAAGCGGCGCGTGGCCATCGATGCGTCGAATCATTACATAAAAATGCAGCTTAACGAAGCAAACAGAAGATAATTTTTTTCAATTTCACAGATTTCTAAAAATAGACGGATATCTTTCACTTTTTACTGTTCGCTTTAAATTTTCCACGCGAAAATTCGACACCGTAAGCGATACTTTTCGTATTAGGAGAGTCGATCGATGATAAATTTGAAAGAAATCAACGAATTGCACTTTCGAAATGATCGAACGTCCGCGATAGATTAAGGCATTCTTTTCGATGCGAAGTGTAATTCGGATGTGAGTGTGGGACTCGCAACGTTCGCCGTTGCTACTCCGCCGATTAATGGTTACTCGAAGGACGTGTAACTAATTAACACACACGCCGGATCCCACACAATTAACCACCTCTTTTGGTAACAAGGACGATTTAACGATGACAGATGAGTGGGAATTCTTTCCAAAACGAGATGTGCGCCAAGATTTCTGGTACTCCCAGTGGAATTACAATTACCCTTTCAACAAGCGATTTGTATGTCTCCATTGTGTGACGAGCGGCGTGTTGTTCGCACGTCGGGACCGTTATTTAATCGACATTGAGACATATACTAACCACAACCTTCAAATGATCCGTAAACGTTCCGTGAACGTTTCTATCGAGATCGTTCGATTCGATTTTTGGAATGTTTTCGTAAAATATTCGTAAAAGTCGCACTGGTATTTTTATCGTCGATAAAGTTTTATATGCGTTCATTTAATTTACCTAATTTAAAAACATATCAATCATTATTATCATTTAACTGTTAAGTAATTATTCCTCGGAAAACCTGAGAAATTGAACCGTTGTTCGAGACGTTGGCGAATGCATAATACAAAGTTCAATCACACTGCAAACATCGAGATAACGTCTCGACTATTATGATATAGTCATGATCTTTGTAATCCGCGGTCGCGAGATGCACCGCGATAAAGAAGACGCAGGGAAAAAAATAGTAGTTTTTATGCAATTTGATTTAAACGAGGTGATCAACCGTCGTTGAAGACTGTTCGAGCCGCCGTTTAACTTGAAATTAAGTTAATGTGAAGTTTCACCATTATCCTTTAATACAATTGTCGGAAAAAGTCAAATCACCGCAACTTTTCGTTTTCAGTTGCATGTCACGTATATAAATAAATATGCAACAATGATTAACCAGTGAAAGAAAATACCGTACTATCTTGCCTATTAGCATACACCGAGGAGTAAAAGTAAACACACATACGATGTTTTTACAAAAATATATTTTTATTTAATGGTTACACATAGAATAAAAAAAACAAAATACACAGTATTAAGTAGAATATTTCAGCTTTCCAAATAAATTTAAACAATAATGATATTGTTATTATTTTGATAAATACAAATTGTTTTGGTGTAGTCGGTTATGCAATTCATTTTAAAATAAGCATTTCATATTTTTATGGATTTAATATTTTGTCCAGAAGCTATTGGCCTTGGCAGAGGCTCGAATACGTTTAGTCGTACTTGAAACTATATTTTCGCAGTATTCTGACGTAATAGAATACCATTGTTGCTGCACTCTTTGCCACAAATCATTTATTGTCGTTGGTGGATCACTGTAGTCATTCGCTAATTTCATTTTTAAATATGCCCAGACATTCTCGATTGGATTTAAGTCTGAGCTTTGAGCAGGCCTCGACATTGTTTGAAATTGTTGATCATCCAGCTAATTTTGGATGCTTTTTGCCAAATGTCCAGGGGCGTTATCGTGTTGGAAAACAACATCACATTCTTGTATAGGCATATTATCAACAACATTTAATAAATTCTGTTCTAACATGTTTTTGTAAGTGTACTTGGTTCACCGTACTTTCAATTCGATGCAATGAACCTACCCCATATGCCGCAAGGCAACCCCATATCATGACTGAACCACCGCCAAATTTAATTGTCTGTTTAACATGACGCGGCGAAAGGGTTTCACCTTTCCATTCCCAACACCAAGAACGTCCATCTAAAACTCGATTTATTTTAGACTTGTCTGAAAAAGTCACGGTCTTCCATTGCTTTTCATTCCAATTTATATATTTTATGAACTACAGTTTGACTAACTGCAAAATTCTTGGCAACTTTTCCGGTTGATAAGCCAGATTTTAATTGAGAAATAATACTATCTTTCACAGTTTTAGATAATGGGTTCATGACAGTACGTTAACGCGTGTTACTGCACGAATAACAACAGTACAACTACTAAAGTACTCCCGGTCGGGAATAACACCGGTCACTGTTTATAAAAAATATGTTCACGTTTCTCAGCTACGAACGTTCTACTGCGGTGCAAAACCGATCACACGGAAAAACTTTGTATTTATCAAAACAATAATAATACCACGATCAGTAAAATTTTCGTGGAAAGCTAAAACATTCTACTTAATGGTATGTATTTCATTTTTTTTCCATTATACGTTCAAACATTAAATAAAAATTCATTTTTGTAAAAATATCTTATGTGTGTTCACTTTTGCTCCTCACTGCACATATTGATTCTTGTAAATCACAATTACAAGCAGTATATTATCGCGAATTATTCATTGTTTCGAGAATACATACCTACAGCAAACAAGCAACACCGAATGCAGATCTTTTGCTGTGAAGATAACAGAAATCGTGACAAAATGCGGAACAATTTAATGCACAGCCTTCTCCCGAAGATGTGCGCGCAGCCGGGACAATAGAGCCTTAAAAGAAACCGTTTAAAAACTTCAGTCACAACTATCTACAACGGCACTCTATAAATAATAAATAAATAACAATCAGTAACCGAATATTCAGTTAATCAATCTTAAAATACTGATTCCACAATTGAATGTAGATCATCGAGGAAGTTCCCTCGACAAATTATTCGACGAGAAGTCTAAATAAACATCGATTCTTTCGCAGAGATCCTACGCTATCCCAATTGTTTCGAAAATGTTAACACGATTCATTAGAGTGTATCCATAAGCATCAGCCCGGTTATTCTTACGGTATCCGACTGGAAGAAGCGGTTTCCCGGGACACGCAAAAGAAAGACGCGAGTCCGAAAGTTTTTGTCGCACCGGCGTCGGCGAGGATGCGGCCGCCGACTAGAAATAGCACGCATTTTTCCGCCGCGCGTTCCGCGAATCTTCCATGAACATGAGTGCGAGCCGCGCCGTTCCCCTCGGCCGGGAAATAAGTGACGAGAGCCACCGCAAGAAACGATCCATCCGTGGAACCATCTCGACGGCCACGTGAACGAGTCGGCGTGACGCGCGCGTAAGAAACACGGCCTGTGAAAGAAACCCGCGAAGACGATCCAAATCCGTTCCCGCGGCCGCTCTGGAAACGAGTCGCTGCGTCGATCCGTTGCGACGGGCCTCCATCAATAATTCATCCGGCGAGGACGCGTTTTCAGGGAAAATAAAGGAAGAAGCAACGAGTTGCGACCGTTTTTCCGACGCCGCGGGAATCGGCTTGACACGGAACGCGACGGCCGGCGACACCAGACGCGATTACGGTTTCGCTGTTCCGTCCTCCTGAAAGATCACGCCGACTTTTATGAATCCTGTGCAAAAACCGTGGCGCCCTATCATGGTCTCGAGAAAGGAGGAAGTCGAAGAACTCGGCTCCGAGATGTTCGATTCGCTGTTTGCGCAAATAGAGGCAGGATCGGTTCATCCGTTGCTCCGTTTATCTCAATGATATGTTAATTGTGTTATGACGTCGTCGGGCATGTATTTTGCCGTTCCTTCCGTCGCGACGCAGCGGGCAAATAGAATATTTTCGGAGATTCTTATCGCTCGGTAATCCGGGCAAAACATATTTTCATAGAGACGCCGGAATGCCAGGCGAATCTGGTTTACTGTCTCAGTTCCAGGACAATGGAATCTATGCAAGGTACGATCACCTTTACGACGGCCTTTCTATTTATAGCGTTCCTAGATGTTTGCAGAAGTGTTTCGTGTCGAACTTGACCACGTTCGATCGCGTCTGGTGACTGCAATGAGTATTCCGCGCGTGGCAGCACGAATGCTGTACGCGGCAGATTTTAGAACGCTTAAATTGCAAACGATTCTATTTACGTTGCACCGCGATGTAACCGTTATGGTCGTTGACTTTCGCGGAACCCTGCTAGAAGACGCGGATGCAAATCACAGCTAACACGGAATTCGGTCTCCGTCCGCGGAAAATATTTTCCTGGAACCGATGCTTGTCAGCGGCCGTCGCTGTTGTCGAAAAGCGTGAATGATAATTACTTAGACGGACGGCCGGTGATTCCGGTTAAAAGGATTCTATTTTAGAATATTATGCTATCGAAAGCGTATACAGCGTCAGCGGCCATTAAAACGTGACAGTGGATTCAATGAAACGCGATTCCGCGAATCCTCGAGAGGAGTATTCAATATTATAATTTTGAGGTATGGTCCGAGGATAAATACGCCAGCTTTTCAAATAATTCGTGACTACGGAATGCTATCATGTTAATCGTAGTCCTTTAGCCCAAATAATATCGAACACAGTAGCGGAAAACCGCGTTCGAAAGCAGGGGTCGCAGTCGTGTGAAATACTTCTGTCGCCGGCCGTTCGCGAATTATTTAAAACGGCCGGGAGTTTTGCGTGGCACGCGGTCGCGCGGGAGAGATTTCCGTGGCCGTTGGAACGAGCGAGGCGTACCAATTCCGCGAGGATCGTGATCTGGAAATTACAACGCCCCGCGAAAGAATTCTCGAGAGCTGGGTCGACGGTGTAAATCGAACGGCTGGACTCGCGCCGGCAGGCAATTTTCACGTGCGTCCGGGTAATTTTCAAGCGGCCGCGTCGAGACCGCTTAGAAACGCGAAGCGCCGGCGCCAGTTCCTCATCCTTTTCCTTT